TTGGCCCACCCAGATTAGTCCTAAGGCGCTTAGCAATACAATATCTGGCCGCATCCTGTATAGCCCACCAAGCACCAGCCAGGTTATTAACTGAGAAAATTCTTTCCAGAATATCCTCACCCACTTTTATATCCAACCATATGTCATTGACACCAATGTTTCCTGTTTCCTCATACTGACCCGAAGTGTAGTCTTTTGAACTCTTACAGCTATGAATGAGCCGCTGGATCCAAGAAGAAAGAGGCACTTTCCATCTTTGCGAAATGTAGCTCAAAATGGAAACAAGTTGTTGTGAGTGAAGTTGCCAGTGTAGTGGCTTCAAGGCAAATACTTGCTTCCAGTGCAAGTTGGAACCATTGCTTAATGTAAGAAAACCAGGCCTACATGTGCCACATACTCCAGAATCATTTAGACCACAAGCGTACATCATTGTTGGCAAGACATGGGAAAACAGCCTAACAAATGCACTCCTTATGTCAATATCAGGATCACCAACTCTTTCCAGGAGCACTTCAGCTATGGAGGAAAAATACATGGGATGTATGAGTCTTGCTTGCAGAAGTAGCTCCAAGACTGATGCAACATGTGACCTCACTTTTGGTTCCTTGTCAGATGCAGCTTCCAAGACTGAGAAAACCATATTCCCAGAAATACCAACATATCCAAATGCTTCATAGAAATAAGTCTTAAGATTTGGTTTCTCATTAATAGAAACAAGATTCTCAGAAAATTTTTTAACCCATTCAAGGGCTGCTACTTTAACTCCAAGGGGAGAAGAAAAATTGAGAGCTTTCACCATGAGCTCTTTGTTCTTCTTCATATGATCAACAATCGCAGCTGAAAACCTATCCCTGAAACCGCTACCATTTAGGACCTTCTTGGAAGCACCATCCACTGAAGCGTTATCACTACTCTGGTTTAATAAGGAAATATTGCTCAAGAATTCAGCTGCAGTTAGCTTTTCCAATGTTTTGATAACACTGATTTGCAATTCCACAGATTCCTGAATAGTTGATTCAAAAGGATTTAGTTCCTCTATAATAAAGGACACCAATTTTTCTGACCGTTTTAGATATATGGCAGCAACATCTGGTTGACCAATCAAACTGATACCCCCACCAACGAAAACACAGGTTAACAGAACTTTCAAATCAAATTTAATAAATGCAAACAACTCAAGTTTTGAATAGGATTTAAAATTTGTGGCACTATCAACCTCATCTCCACGACCAAAAGTTTTTCCAAGCATACCCTTCAACAACTGCAGCTCTTCAATCAATGAGCTTACTGCCTGTTGAACAACTTCATTATTGCCATGTTGAAGCAAGAAAATATAAGTAGCAGCAGAACTCCCTGTTATTAAGTGATTTGGATGCAAACGCAGCTGAGATATAGGTGCAGCAAATTGAAGTAATTTTTGCACAGATGATGGAAGAAGACCAAACTTCTGCAGAGATAATAGCTGAAGATTAGTTTTCAAAACCCCATGAACTTGAAAGGAGGTAATCTTCCCAGCTCCAAGAGGTTGCAAACTTTCAAACAAAACGTCAACCGCAAGTGGATAAAAGGTGGAAAACCTTTTCGCGTAATATTTCTGCCAAAGAGTCAAGCACTTCCATGAATCCCCAATCCTTTGACCAACCAAACTTCCGTCCAACCATTGAATATATCCCAACAACCGAAGGACCATTTTGCTAATTCGTTCACATATTTTTTCGAGTAGATTCATTTCGAGCAACCCAAGCAGTGGACTGCAGTACCGTTGAAAAGCAAGAAAGCAGAGCAAGCAATCGTCGAAATTGTTGTGGGGTCCCATGACCCCATCCTGAAGCAGCACATCCATGTCATCCAAGAACTTAGACAGAAGTCCAAGCGAAAATTGCTAACTATCCACCCAGTGCTTTTGAATTGCAAGAAACTATCCATAATAACACACCTATCTGATTCAGCAAGGTCTGGTACCAATGCCCATCCAAGAAAGGTCAACAATGTCCAGAAAATGAGGTTGGAAGAATCTAAAACTTAACGAAATCAAAGTTAAAACCCCCAGAGTCGGTGTAATAAACTCAAGGAGTTCTCTCATCCTCAAGAAGTTCTTGGCATGCTTTGAGGATTGGTAAAGCATATCTCTCAATCCCACCAACATCCCCAATACTAAGAAACTCACGTAATCCTCCAAGCCAACAGTGTTCCCATCTCCACACTGACATGCTAAGCAATGGCAAAGCCCAACCATAAACCGATCCACCATACTCGCCAAGCATAACATAGTTCTGCCAACCATTTGATCCTATGGGATTGAACACACCACAGCACAGAGTGCACATAAGCAACTGCTGCAGACTGCCTCACTGCATATGACCTTCAAAAAAAAACAAAAAAAACAAAAAATAATACATAAAAAATTAATCCCCAAAAACTACACATGATCTTAAGTACGTTCATAACCACAATATCATTTAACCATTTCAAAATTCTTTCCTTGAGGACCAGTCATCCATTGTCATAAACTTGCATTAACTAAGCCACACATTTCACTGCATTCAAAATCAAATACCATACTTGGTTTGCAAACAATTAAGTGTCAAATGTCAAATTCCATCCAAACATATAATCTTACAATCTCCATAGGCCAAGAACAGCATTAACTAAGCCACTTGTTTCATTATATTCACAATCAGATAATAAACTCAGTTTCCACAAAATTAAAAAATTCAAGCCTCCAAAATTTCAACAGCATACACATCAAGCATCTAATGTCAAATTCCATCAAACTAACAAACAACTAAAACTTCAAAAAAAAAATTTTTTTCATCTACGTCTGCATTACATTCAAAACCAGAAAATAAACTAAACTTTCATAAAATTGCACCACAGATGTCAAATTCCATCATAATGCTCAATCATTCCATCATTTACACAACAACTTAAAATAAAAGAACAGAGCGAGAACGATAGAGATATTACTTGTCGGTTAGAAGCTGAGAGAAGACTTGGGAGAGGAAGGAAGCGGAGTGAGTGATGACAACAGAGTTAGGAGGATAGATAATCAAGCGGTGGAGTGAGGTGATGGCGCCAAGCCGAGCTGAGTCCTCGTCTTCTGAGTTGGAGGCGCCACTGGCTGTGGTGGTTGTTGTTGTTGTTGCTATCGAAGTTGCCGCTGCTGTTGTTGAGGCTGTTACCGTTGCTGTCGCAAAAATTGTCGAAGAAGAAGAAGAAGTGGAGTCGTCTTTGGAAAGAGCGACGGACAGTAGCGCTGCTAGTTGCTGTTGCCGGTGGTGGAGTCCTTGCATCAGTGTCTCGGTTTCGCATCTCTTGCTTTCAAATTCTCTCCTCTAATCTTGTTGATTCACCACTTCTCTTTCTTTCTCTCTCTCTCTCGCATAACACTTCTTCTTTGTGCTTGAAATCTGTTGCCGGAAAGAAAGCTCGACGAATCAGGTCCTTCTTCGTATATTCGGGTTTTTTATTTTTAGAGTAGCTGACTTTTTCCCACCCAGTGGTTTAATTATTTTTCCAATTGCAGTAATTTTAAAATAATATTTTACTATTTAAATTTATATTCTAATATTGAACAAAGAACTAGCATAATCCAAACTATAAAAATTTGAAAAGAGAAGAAACTGATGAATCTTTTAATATTAAAATATTAGATTTTAATAATTAAAATTAATCAAAATTTAACTTAAAAAGGAGATGACAAATAAGACGAATTGCCCCAACTGTACCCTTTTCATAACGTTAATTTACAACATCAAAGATTTCCTCGACAAGAAACAGAAGGATAAGCTCGAACCCTCCAAACAACAGCCAGTTGACGCCGTGTAATTTGATGAAACGCTTCCAGGTGATTAGTTGACTAATTCATTCATTTCTTTTTATGCTCTGCAAATATCGTTTGTGTTTAGTATACATTCATACATACATATATGCATAAATACATGTGTGTATATGTGTCAAGGACTAAAGTCTGGGTACTTGTCTTCTATGTTGCATGAAATTTTCTCTTACTAGAAGATATTGTTATACTGGAAGCTCTCTATTATAATGTGAAATATACAATTTTTGTGAAGAAACTGTGTTACATACTCTTTATCATATCCTATACTGTTATAAGAGTGCATGTAAATTATTAGGTACGTATAATGGACATGCATGCTTGAGCATTTACGTATATTTATGTTCTGAAATCTTTTTGATAATCTTCCCTGCACTAGCAATTCCTTGTCCAAATATAACAATCTGACGTCTTTTTCCATGCTTGGGGCATGTCAGTGTAAAAATGGGCATATGGCTTGCTCTTCCTGCTGCACCAAAATTATGAACAAATGTCCCTCCAGTTGTTTGCCTATTGGATATTAACTGTTGTCGAGCAATTGAGAAAGTTTTAGAAGCTATCAAAATAAAATGTCAAAACACAAAGTACGGGTGCAAAGAAACGACGAGTTTTAGCAAGAAACTTGATCATGCGAAGACATGCCACCATGCACCATGCTCATGCCCCATGTCACACTACAATTTTGTTGGTTCTTGTACCCAGTTATACAAACACTTCAGGGATGAACATAATGTTGAAGAGGAGGAGGAGGAAACGGAAGAAGAAGCACCAGAAGGAACAGCTACATTGAATCAGAGAGGCAAAACGATTTGTGAAAATGATGGTAAACATCAAGTATTTTTTTTTCATTTCAAAATAATTATATGTGCATGTGTGAATGCCCTAGAAATATGTAATAGGATTTGTTTGAAATAAATGAAACTCATTGTTAATTTGATTCAGGAGAAGGATCCAAGAAAAGTGCCGGTGTCAAGGCAAGAACGTCTTAAGAACTTGACAATGTCTTGACCAGAGAGAAAGTGAGAAAATATGTTCATCCTCGAAATCCCTACTTTGTGTCAAAGCTAAAACAAACTAAAAACCGGCACTTTTCCAGTTTGTTTTAACTTTGACACAAAGTAGAGATTTCGAGGATGAACATATTTTCTCACTTCCTCTCTAGTCAAGATATTGTCAAGTTCTTGAGACGTTCTTGCCTTGACACCGACACTTTTCTTGGATCCTTCTCCTAAATCAAATTAACAATGGGTTTCATTTATCTCGCACAAATCCTATTAAATATTTCTAGGGCATTCACACATAAACATAGAATTATTTTGAATTGAAAAAAAAAAAAAAAAATACTTGATGTTTACCATCATTTTCACAAATCCTTTTGCCTCTCTGCTTCAATGTAGCTGTTCCTTCTGGTGCTTCTTCTTCCTCCTCCTCCTCCTGTTCTTCTTCAACATTATATTCACTGTCACTACCATGATCATCATCAAAATCAGTACCTACATCAGTAATTTCGTGTTCCTCCACTTCTTCCTCCTCCTCTATATCAATGCCCACATAAGGACCAGTTTCATTCTTCTCACAGCCAGATTTCCCAAATATTTTAACATTAAATCCATTGTCACCATTGTATTGAAAAACTAAAAAATCTCCAAACACTAAAGAATTGTCTTTCACAAACTGTTGCCCACCATTTGCAAAATATACCCTATTGTCAGCATATTCCATTTTCATATGCCAAATTTTTCCGATTCGATTCTGAAGAACAACATTCTTTGGCAATGCATTCAAGTGTTGTACCCAAGCATCCGGGATTTTCTACAGAAGAAATCAATTGCATCATTAAATTTCAATCATAACATGTAAAAGACGATTGAAAACTGTTAAAATCTGTTTCTTCAGTAATTTTACTCTTTCACATACTTAATTGTGCATATATGTAAATGAAACAATTAATTAACATCAAATAATGTTGTAGAATGAAAATTTAACGAATCCCAAATCATAAAAGAATATTAAATGAGTTATATATACTATTTTATGAACCGAACAAATTCTGCCCAAAGTGAACAAACATCAAACTAGCTTCAAACCCAAATAATTTTCTAGAAAATCACAACAAAGAGAAAAAGAAACGAAACTTATGTACAGGACTCACATGGATATGGAAAACCAAATATATTCTGTTTGTTTGCTAAAAACAACAGTACATGAAGCTCTCTCAAAAGCAAGCTCTGAGAAAGGTTTAAGCTTTCTCCCTCTCTCTCAAAGTTTCTCCCATTAATCGACCAAGAAATGCAGAGAGAGGATTTCATCGTGCCAACCAAAAGAAATTAAAGAAAAAAAAAAGGAAAAACACAGATTATAAGAGCAGAAAGGAAGATGAAAGTACCAAACTGGCAGAGCTGAGCCTTGGGATGAAGAACTTGAAGAATTTAGGCAACCTCTTGTTGGTTCTGTGGGGCGCCATTTTCTCTGTGTTTCAGAATGAGAAAAACCAAAATGTTCTGCAGTATCACAAGCCTACAGTATTAACAAAAAAAAGAAACATTTCTATTAATGACATAAAATAATGAATTATCATAATCCTTCTGCAATGAAAAAGTTCTAACTCTAAAATCAACTTCAGTCCCAAAACGAAACAATACAACAATATATAATGGTACTCCGTAAAACACATAACTTGGATGTATATTTATATATAGGTCAAGGCAGCTCGTAACCAAACTATGTCCAAATGCCCAAGCAAATGAAACATAATCATTTTAATCCTTGAAGGTTCAAATTCTAATGTGGTGTGAGTGAGATTAAATAGAAGATATATTCATAATGGAAGAGTATGTAAGTGGTTCAACATACCAAATTAGTGTACCAAACTCTAAAATGATTGCTATAAGTGTCAATAGTTTGTTATGAACCTGCTCAATGAAATCAAAGAAAGATCGCATTAAATGCATCACCTAAGGTTATTGCTTCTAAAGAAAAATGCATATATTAAAATTTCAAACTAAAGAAGGTTATTGCTTCTACAATGTAAACTATGAAAAAAGTATAAAAATCTCAGCCACTTCTGTACATACTCTACTCCTAATCACCATAAACTTACACATGCACGCCTACACATACTGTGGTGACGTGGCTCCTGATTTGCCACGGAGGAAGTCAGCATAAGTGTCCAAGTCAAACTTCCATTATGCGACGTCGTTTTGGCCAACCTAAAAGACTTATCTAATTAGGTCTTCGGATTATCGAGCAACCCTCATTTCTCTTTCTTTTCTGTTTGGCTCGACAGCCTGTTTGGAGGACAGCTCTTCATCTTGGAGAATCTTCCAGAATCGATCCAGCAAGATTTCTGTTATGGAGAATCAAGGACAGATGGCTGATGATCCAGGAGGAAAACCTGCTTATTTAACACATGCTTTTCCAGAGAAAACAGATGAGAGTTTTGGGCTGAGCAATTAGGGTTTTCTCTAATCGGTGTGTTCTTTCCTTGTTTAATGGTTTACCTTATGTTCTAATCACTGTACATTCTTGATTGATAATAAAATCCCTAGTGTGAGCCTTGGAGAGTGGATGTAGGTTGTAAAGCCGAACCACTATAATCTTGCTGTGTCTTGTTCTCTACTTGTCTTTATTTTGTCTGTCATGAGTTTAATTGTTGATCTATCACTAAGTTTTCATCACTGAATCAGTTATTCATTAACCCTAGAATCATAACACATACATTGATACAAGACTTCAATATTTAGTTCGTTAAACCACCACGGAGAATATAAGCTAAAAATCCAAAAAACAACAATACTGCTGAACTATATTTCTAAATATTAAATAAATTACCACACCCCAACATATAAAAAAATAAAAGAAGATAAATACAAACCTCCCAAGTGAAAGTAAATTCCCAACTATGAATGTGATCCCGAACTTGATTGGATTAAAGAAAACAAGCATTGATTGTGATATGAAGAAAGATAACAGTGAAAAAGAATATTAACATTAAAAGCCACAAAAAAAATTGTGATAATTTAAACGAAGTACTCACCAGTAGTGTACAGAATAAACCTTATGATAAGTATATGGCAAAACCATACAACCTCTGTTTAATGAGAGAGAAATTGGTTAAAAACTAGTAACATGTAAAAATTCCTGATCTTAATACGTATAACAAAAAGTTAAGCATAGTATCTTTTCTCTTGAACTCATTATTAAAATGAAAATGTTATGCAAGAAGTTGTTGGCTTTATCAATTTCAAGTTTCAACCAAGCAGCAAACTGATTTTAATTCTTAAAATCACCCACAAAGACAGAGTATATAGGTTATTTTGAAAAATAATGAAAACGTGAATGGGAAATTATGTACTCTACAAAAACTTACCTGTTACAGTCGTTGAAAACAAAGATGATCGACGATTGGAAGATGAACGATTGTTGACGATGATCGATTGGTCGAAGATGAAAGATTCAAAGAGGATCGAAGTCAAACAACGAAGGTCCACGATGATCAATCGGTCGAAGATGAATGAGGATCGAAGAAAAGACTAAAGAGATCGAAGAACGAAGATTCAAGTTCGAGAATGAAGAAGTCTGCGCCATCAGTGAGAAGAGAACGAACAAAGAAGAGAATGAGATGAGTTAGCGAATAAGTTTTAGGTTTTTACCTTTCCGACATTTTTGAGCGAATAAGTTTTAGGTTTTTACCTTTCCAACATTTTTGACCCGCTTTTTGGGCCCTATACGAATGAAAAGTGACAAAGTAAACCCCAAATAATATCAATTTGACCCCTAAACAAAAAAAATGAGACAAAATCAACCTCATTTCATGTTGATAGGAAATAATATTTTGTTTCCCGGTAAATAATTGGGTTTATGGTAGCACTTATAAAATGTTACTGTATTTTTATTATATGATAACATTATAAAAAAGATACTATATTATTATGTACATTGTAACATTTTAAAAATGCTACTATAATTCCTATACTATTACATTTTACAAAAAAGAGTTACCATTGATATAAAATGTGTTACAAAAAGTTAAAGTGTTACATATAAAAAATGTTATCATAACATTTTAACATCAAGTGTTATCATATACAGTCTACAATAACAATTTAAGGAAAAGTGCTACTGTCCAGTGTTATCGTAGGCCATTTTTGTTGTAGTGGAACTTTCTTTATTATAACAATTCCGCCAACAAAGGGAGTCAACTTTAGAATTAATGAAAAGTCAAACATTTGTCTCTCACCCATTCTTTCCAGTTCCACCCAACAAAAATTTCACCCACAAGCAGAATTAATGACAACCACACCAGAGTGCAGACCAACGCCCAAAAATTTCACCCAACAAGCAAGCTTTCCATTATTTAATTAACCGACTCTTATTTCCCTTCTCAAAACAAATACAACTAACAAAACTTCCAAGCATTTTTGAAATAACAAAACTCAACTCTGTCGAAACATGCAGAATTTAGAAAAAGGGAGTTGTCGTCGATTCCCAGATCACACTAAGCATTTTTTACGATGGAAATACCTTTACAAAGCTTAAGCGAGGGAGAAAGGTGTCGTTGTCATCGATTTCGAGCAAGGGAGGCGTCTTCGTCGTCGATTTCCAACGAGGAGGTGTTCTCGTCGTCGATTTCCAGCGAGGGAGGGAGATGTCGTCGTCGTCGTCGAGTAAGGGAGGTGTCTTCGTCGATTGAGATTGAGACAGTGGTTGCGATTTCAAACTTGAGAGAGTGGAGTTGATTGAGATCGGGTTGCGATTTTTGAGAGGGCTCAGAGTGGCTGCAATTTAGAGAGTGGTTGTGTGTGATTGCCTTTGCTGTTTTGCATAGAAAAACTTAAAAAGTATAGAGTGAGGGTTTCTTTTTCATTTGAAACAGTGAACCGGTTTACCTGGCGGGCCGGTTGGACCGGGCGGGTGGCATTGTTCATCCGGTTCAATGGCGGGTGAACACGGTTTTTTGATTGTAACCAGGTTTTATATTGGCCCAGATCGGACATAAGACCTGTTGAACCGGCCAGTCCGGTCCGAGTTTTAAAATAGAGGTTTGTTGTTGGGGGTGTATAACACTGATTTTAAAACCCGACCCATTGGACAACCCGCTTTGCTGCCCATGTCCCGGGTTGACCGGCCCAACCGTGATATCATCATACTGAGCATAATGACGTCAGCAATGCAAAAAATTCCAGATTTTTTAATTTTTATAAATTCAGCTACATTCAAATTTTCAATAACAATTTACTTACTATCCCAAAATGATTCAATAACAATCCGAAGTTCCCAACATGATGTTCTGCTCATTCGATTACAAATTAAATGACAAAATTTAAAAAGATAGTCACATATTAAAAGGAAAATCCATGAACAAGTTAAAAATACACTAAAAGATTGCTGGGAATACAGCAACCACCTTCAAAGGTTACTTTAAGATGTCAAACTAAGGATCACAGGATTGCTGTGCTGTTGACCAATTCAGAACACACCACAACATTTTTTAATTCCCCATTGTATTTGTCCAGTTCTATATGGCAGAGCCCAAAACCAGGAAAAAAAAATTAGTATACAAATAAAAAAACAAAAGGAAATTGGAATCGAAAAAAAAAAAAATTACATGTGCTTATCCAGTACAAACATGCTACATCTTTATTAATTTTCTTTTTAATCAATAATAACAAGTATAATCATCAATAACCACTGTCATAATTTTCATATAAATATCGTATCTC